TTATGTAACAAGTTAAACTTTTACTCTATTAATAAAGATCATGAGTAATACCTCACTCTAACATTAAAAAAAAAAATTAAAAACTTCAAGTTTAATTAATTTCAAAATTTTTTTAATATTTATAAATATGTATTTTTTTAATAGAATTTGTCAAATATTTATAAAATATTTTAAAAATAATAAAATATGCAAGACTAGAATATTCTAAGACTAATTTAATAATTTGTCTTGAAAATAAAATTTGATATTACTTAAACTGCAATTATTTTTTAAAAATAGAAATTCATGTATAATACATTAAAAATGCAAACAAATATTTCTTTTTAATACTGTATAATCAAAGTATCACATAAATCATTTTTACTATACTGTTTTTGCATCAGTTATCCATAAAATATAATGGTGATTCAGTAATCTAATTTATTACGATTCACTACCAGAGTCTTCGGAAGAGGAAAAGAGAGAAGATTGATATGTAGAAGACGAGTTTTCGCTCGATTCGTCACTTGAGCTCTGTTCACTAGTAATATTACCAGTAACTCCAATAAGATTGCCATTTTTATCTAGTCCTAGAACGTCATCTTCAAAAAATTCATTCTCGCTCCTTATATTTTCTTCATAAATTTCCGCCATTAACCTTTCAACTTCATTATAATCCTCATCTCTAATAATAGATTTCACCATCGCACGTTTTTCGGCACCTTTTGTCACAGTCAAAGTTCTCGCCAAAAAATTCAGTATTGATAGTCTAGTTTCTACCAATACCAACCATTTGCTAACCATCAGTCCGGCTTTCCATTTATGTTCATTGGGTTTCCAGGATTTTGGAACGTGTCTCAAGAGGCAATCGACAAATTTCGTTAAACTGGGCACTTGGAACTTCTTTGCTAAATAGGCTACGGCAAATAATTCATCAGTGGTTTTTGGCTGAATTGACCAACCATAACTATTTATATTGAAAATAAGATAATAATAAATATAACAGAAAGATCTAAATACTTTAAGATTGACATTAATTACCAGTAAGACAAAAAATATCCAAAAATTTCATAGTTATAATAAATCTCAAATCGAAAAGTACTTTCATCATAGTCTTCTTGACGACGTTCCAGATTCACATTCTTGACTCTAATTTTTTCATTAGTTACCTCATTCCTTACTTGATGTTCTTTAAAATCATTTTTCAGTAGCATACTTTCGACATCATGCCATTTTTCTATAACGAATTTTTTCGAGCAACTTAAGTCCAAATATAAATGTTTGTCTTCTCCCTGAAACCCTCCATGAGAATCAAAATATTTCCTAAACCATTCGGATTGTAGACTGAGAATACATTTATGAGCAAAATATATTCTACCGTCAATACGAAATGTGAGGTCGTTGGTAACCGAATCATTGTAAAGAACACGGACTTTCGGTAAGGTGTCCATTAATACTCTGTACGTGTTAAATAGTTTTTTGGAAGAAGGCGTTTTGCATTAAGAATCCTCATTTCAATAAGTTTTCATTTGATGTTGAGGTCATTGTTTTAATCTGATATTACATGCAAATTAAGTCAGATTTTATGTATACACGAAGTCAAATAGCAATAATAATAAATTTTATATAAAGATATATCTTTATTTTTTTTTATTGCAAACAGACATTAAATGCCAGACTGCCATTAAATTAACAATCTTTAAAGCAATGTGTAAATTAATTGTAGCTTAAAGACATCTTTATTTTATTTTTTAATATAAAAAGATCAACATATTGAAAAATATATAGTTAAATTGCTAATATATTTATCTTAATTTTTGAAAAAAAAGTATTGCTTTTTTTGATCTATACAATATAAGTTATTGAATTTTTTAATTTTTAATTGTATAATTTTATAACAAAACTTAATAAAATATATATTATTAAAAAATTGTAGATTAATATAGTGCTTTCAGATTTTCAATATATATTTCTAGTTTAATATTTATAGAAAGCAAACACATATTTATCTTCATTACACCTTTCTAGCTTATTACTCTTAAACATATTGGGAATGGTTATCTTTTATTAAAAATAGTAAGCTTTCTTAACAGAAACCTATTCTTGGATACTTTAATCAATAGATATTTCTTTTCTTTAAAAGATTAATAAAAGATAATTATATATATTAATATAAAATTGTTAATATAAATAAAAATTATAATTATTAATTCCAATTGACATAACAGATTTTATAATATAACATAATAATATAAATTAAAAATCTTTTATAAAATAATCATCAATATGGATACTAATACATATAATATATGGGTAATTATTATTGAAGGCATCAAAAATGCTAAATATGATTTTTTCAGACCCAACTTTTAGACAATACATATATAGTATAAATTTCAGGATCCCATCAGAAAATTTCCGGTCCGCCTTCGAAAATAATTACCCATATTTGTAACTAAACAAAGGTTACTGTATATCTTGTTTAATATTTTTATCTTTAGATTTAATAATTTACATAAATCAAGAATCTTTAAAATATTTATTAAAAAATTTAGATATTATACATTACTTAATTATATAACTCTTAAATTTAATAGTTTATATCAATCAAAAGATTCTTTAGGAGTATTTATTAGGAAGTATTAGTAAAATAATAAGTATTATAATTGCATGAACTAAAAATATTAAATATAATAAGAAAGTTTTTAGCAATGATCAATATGTATTTTATAGATTTTTAATAAAAATAAATTTAACAAATTATATGATTTAAATTAATAATAAAATTTTTATCCTTTGATTAAATCTTACTTAATATATGGATTTACTTTTTCAATATAAGTCTGCATATATTAGGCTATATACAATAAATTATAATTAATTTACTTTTATAAAAATTATTAATATATTGATATTAAACTATAGTTTAAATAAAATCTTATATTTAATATCTATTTGCTAAAAAAAAATAAAAAACAAATATATATAAATTTATATATATATAGATTTATTGGATTTTTCATATAGGTCATATTCAATTATTTGAATTTTAAATTTAGTTAAATTATATAAAAATAAAATCTTTAATTATAAACTAAAAATAAATTAATATAAAAAAATTAGATAAAAAAGGTTTTTAATTAATTTTTATAAAAGTTTATAATTTCAATTAATATAATAGATTTTATAATATAAAGAATACTTTAATTTAAAATTATTTTAATCCAATATTTATTTAAAAAAAAAAATCAATAATTCAAATTTTTAAAAGTATAGATAATAATAATATATATATTGTATTAAAAAAAGTATTTTTTAATTCTAAATCTTTTATATAACTTTTTTTATAATTTTTTTTTTTTTATAGTGAAACATGCACACGGTATATAATCTTTATTAATATATTATATATCTAGATAGACACTAAGTGTCTCTACAAATTAACCAGAAATTAGTTGATACATGGTATCACTTTTTATGTCTCTACAGCTAATCTGCAGATTAACACTGCTTTAGTACATATATTACTATATAACCAGCTACGCTAACTACTATTTTACCCAACTATGCATTTATTTAAATACTTGTAAATGTGTCCATATGTCAGGTGGGACTTTCCGCAGGGGGAGAATCCTACCACTAGTTTAAACCCGTCTAAACCTACTGAGTCCATTATTGCAGAGAGCAAGTTATAATGGAATATTATTATAGAGATTAACTCCAGTATTCCAGTCACTGTTATCACCAATCCTCAAAATATACCACTAGCATAGTGCAGCACTACCATTTTCATCACCTGTGGAACTGGTGTTCTTGCTTGGATTTCAATTTAATTTTGTAGATCCTCATTAGATATACTTGGCTTGACAATTTTTACCTAAATTCTTACCACCTGTGGTTGATATCTTGCTCTTTGGTCATATAATTAAGTTCCGTAGAACACCACTATTGGGATAGATCTACAAGCTCCAGATTGGAATAGAGCGGCTTAAAATTAACCTCTTTTTGAATTGTGTGATGGAGTCTGCTGTTGCCAGTTTGGGTTAGAATTTGTGGGCTTTTATTAGAGTTAGACCAGAAGTCTTTCTTTATGCAATATTTCATACTTCGACCTGTTTTCAGCCTACAATCATCGAGAAGACCAGAGGTCCCATCTTCATACAACCTAACTGAATTTGGATGTGATTTTTAGTTAATTGGATATGACATAAATTGAAAACTGGTCAACCAATCATGACGTTGATAAATTTTTATAACCAAATGGGTTTGAACCCTAGACTTTCTCCTGGTGACCTATGGAACATTACCACTATACTACAGACCTATAGGTCAATAACTTTTTTTTTTTTATAATTATTTTAAAAAAACATATAAAGTATTTATAAATAACAATAATTTTTTTAATAAATATCTTAATTTATTTATTAAAAATATTAATATTCTTATATATTAAAATATTAAATCTAGAGATTTTCAATAAAAATTTTTTTACTTATATATAAAAAATAAACAAATATTTAATATAATAAAATTTATAAATGTAAAATAGATATAGAAAAAACTCTTTCCGCTGATCCTTTTGCCAACCCAAAAAACAGACGTTCTCAAAAAAACTTTTTGTTTTTATGATAA